CTAAAAAAATACAAGATGCAGACCTATATTGAAGCTTATGACTATCCATAGGATAAAGGCATGAAAAACACTCACATCCAAATACTCTTAAAATAGAATAATCTGGATTATGACCATAAAGCTTAAAAAATGGTGAATCACCTTGAAGAGAAGATGGGGGTAGTCTATTTATGAGAAAAACAGTAATGATGAAGGCATCTGACCAGTAATAAAGAGGCAAGGAAGTTTGAACAAGTATAGTAAGGCCTACTTCAACTATTTGTCTGTGTTTCCTCTCAATCAAACCATTCTGCTCTGATGTATATGGACAAGTAAGCCTATGAGTGATACCAGCAGCAGCTAAAAAAGGCTTAAAAGCCACGAATTCCCTACCATTATCAGTCTGCAACATTTTAATCTTAGTGTTTAAACAATTTTCAATTTCAGTTTTGAAATTTTTGAAAACCGTTAAAGCATCAGATTTCTTTTGAAGTGGAAAAATCCAAAAAAAGCAACTAAAAGCATCAATAAACGATATACAATATCTGAACCTATTTGACAATTGAGGAGCTGGGCCCCATAAATATGCCTCAATAAGTTCCAATGGACTAGTATATACAGTAGAGGAATTATGAAATGGAAGCTTGTGACTCTTTCCAAACTGACATGCCTGACAGACTTTAGACAAAACTTTTGCAGAAACTGACATTTTATTTAACTTGAACACTTGTTGTACTACATCAATAGATAGATGTCCAAGATGAAAATGCCAAAACAATGCAACATTATCATGTAAAGAAACATGAAAACACTAATCAAAATAAGACTGTAATGCTACATTTTGATTAACATCATATCCTTCACGCTTTGATTCAGACAATTTGTACATTCCAGCTACCTCATGCCCATGAGTTATCAGTTTTCTTGTCTACATGTCCCTAATAAAAAAAGTATGAGGCCAAAACTCCACAAAAACTCCATTATCCTTAAAAGCTTGAGAGACAGACAATAAATTTTTAACCATAGAAGGCACATGTAGAATTCAAGGCAAAACCAACACAGAGTCAAAAGTAGGAATATAAGATTTACTAACAGTAAAAACTTGTAACAAATTACCATTTCCTACTGCAACTGGTCCATCTTTCTAAGCTGAATCAATTTCTTGTATCTTGATAGCATCCTTTGCAATACGCTGAGTTGTACCGAATCAAGATACCAGGCATTGTCAGCAACTATGTGAGGTATAGTTACAAGTGCTTGAGCATTTGAATTTACATGACTAGTCACAGGAACAGAAGAACTAGTCCCAACATCAGGAATTGTATATTCACCAGAATCAGGATAATAAGGAGTGTAATAAACCTCAAATGGAGGTATATCATTGTAACCAAAATCATCGGACACAAGATGAGCTTGAGGCATAGAAGAGGATGCCCCATGAGGGACAAAATTATAATCAAACCTGTAGTAACAACAACCTACAGTATGACCAATCTTGAAGCATATCTGACATAAAGGAGTCCTCAAAAACATATACCGTCCAGGATCGCGACCATTACCAGCAACAAAAGGAGGTCTAGATGGAGTACCATTACTAGAACCAGCAGAAATAAACTGACCATGATTCGGTGAAGATTGTACAGGCAGTTGGACAGTGCAAGCCTGAACTGGAATATTAGTCATAGGTAATGTAGGAGTCCATGGAACAAAAGCAGCAAGATGCACATGTGAGGCATGTTGAAGATAAGTTTTCTGCCTTGCTTCAGAGTCAAGAAGCATAGTGTTAATAGTGCTAATATCAAATTGATTTTTAGCAGTATTAATCACTGCAATAACAAGCTCGTATTCAGGGGTTAAGCCATTTAACATATAGGAAATTTGAGAAGAAACAGGAACTCGATGACCAAGAACGGCCAAATTATCACAAATCGCTTTTATCTTAACCAAATATTCCTTCATTGTAAGGTCACCCTTCCTCTGATTACTTAGCAGATTTTGATAATGAAGCACCTTAAATTTAGACTTAGCAGAGTAAAGATCACATAATCGACTCTAAATTTGAGCAGAAGTATCAAACCCTACCAAATCAGGGAGTATAGAATGACTGACCGTTGAGAGTAACTAGGAAGCTAGTGCTGTGTCATTTTGTTCATACACTTCATATGCAAGATTCAAAATTATTTGACCATCAGCATTACGAATCATAGCCGGTGGAATTGGAGCAATGCCATCAAAAAATGCATGGAGATGATGTTGTTTTACCATCAGCGAAACTTGCTGTTTCCAGATAAGAAAATTAGTGTCATCAAGGATGACAGTAATCTTCTTGTTGGAGAAGGACTTCTGAGACAAAGTAGGTGCAAGAACTGGAATTTGAGCCATCGAAGAAGAAAGAATAATCAAAAGAATAGAGCAGAATCAGAAAACAAGAACGTAAAACAACTGATTTTGGAGTAACCAGGCCCATGGCTCTGATACCATGTGAGTGAAGAAGAAACTAAACAATAAAAATGAAGAAAGTGCAATCTGATTCATTCATTATACTTTGATTCGAGAACACAACTTGTATTTAAAGAGCAAAATACAAGGACTTAACTGACTAACTATTGATAATAGAAATTTAACAGAAATCTTTCACGCGAATTGGGCTTTGGGCTTGGTAAATCAAGCCCATATACACTAATATTGTCAGAGGTTAAATTCTAAATAGCTAATGTAAAAATTTTAAAACCTAGCTTTTGACCTAACTATAGTTAAAAAGAAAAAAGCCCACATACCAATCACTCTTGCCCGAACGTATGTTTTTTTAATCTCTAGTTAGCTTTGAGACCAACAAATAACAATTTATTTCAACTAATTAAACGGGATCCCAAACAAAGCACCCTAAAATCTATAATAGTTATAACCAATTTTTCTTAACGAAAAGTCAATATAAGGTACAGGACCATAATTATTAATGTTATTAATCAAAAAACCAATGTCGCCATCAGTAGGCCATTTGCAAGATTAGATATATTGATATTCCTGGAAAAACACTAGCTCATTCATGATTAACTTAATACATTTCATGACAAACCGCGTTCACTGGCACTGTAAATTAAATAATGATAAAAATATGCTATATATATTGACTTCTAAATTTCAACTTATCTAGAGTCATTTAAAAAAAAAAAAAACGTTTGTAAGAATGGCCAGTTGTACCGAATATATGAAAACTAATCAATCAGATTTTAAACATTAATAAAGCGAAAGCAACTCAACCTCTCGTGAAGCTGGGGATGGGTCTCTAGAAGTAAATCCATATCTCTCTACAAATTATTCTGTTTAGAAGATAAACTCGGCCCATGAAAATTTCATCGTGCAATATTTCATTACATAAGCAGTGTTATTTAGAGTTATAATATATAATTAACTATATATACATTTATATAGCTACTACATGATGCAAATTACATTTATTCATGATTTTGACACTAGAGCTCTCACCAGACCAAACACAATGTATGTTTGGTTGTCCAATATAATTATGAGTAAACTTAAATCAACTAGGGAATAAAATTAAATTTAATAACTAATCTATAATAAAATAAAATAACCTATAAACTAGAATCTTAAAAGTTTAAGTTAAGATATGATATCCTTCCACTATTTTGGTATATTTACTCTTTATTGTTACTGTAGAAAACTTATTTTAAACTATTTCGAAGAGATGGTGCTGGTAATCAAAGTTTATAGGAACTCGGAAGCTTGGTCTAAAATTCCTCAACATAATAATCACAACATGATACTTATTGTAACAGAAATGTTACAGTTGCAGTAATATTGGTATGCCATTAATTTAAAACCTTAGTTACGACATTTATAAAAATCTGAATACGCATACTTGTATGAGAAAAAGGAGCAAAATAAGACCTTTTTTTTTATTGCCAACTAAAGAAACTTATATTCATACCCAAGTTCAAAACATACAGACCAAAATATATGAAAGCACAAAAAACTGATCCTGAGAGTAAATCAAGGACAAAAATAATTAAAGTGTAATTTTCTTGATTACCAAACACAGAGCCAATAACATCGGAAAACAGCGAGCAAGCAAGATGGCAGTTTGGACACCCAATTAATCAACCAATGAACGTTGAATATAGTGGAAAGGGCTAAGATGAATTAAGGATTGAATTCTTAATAAAAAATGTATCTACATTTAGTGCCACACCCTGTACCTCGAACAAGATTATTTCTCCATCCATTAAATCCTGTGAACAATAAAAACAATTGTTAGTTATAATATTGTATTGTATAACAGTCTCCATAAACATATTAGAAATAGAAATTGAAGGCTGGAACTTATTGATATATTAATTAAAGATTTCTGTCCAAGTTGCTACTCTCTATTCTAGTTTCTCTGTAGTTAAAATTGAGTTGGATCTCATAGCACGCTTGTTAAGGTCAATGCATACCTCACGGCTTAAAAAATGTCTACAGATGTACTCATAGAATATAATATGGTCCTTACATTGATAATATGATTTGAATCATGTCCACATGAGATGAGTCAACTCTTTACCAACTAGACTAATGTTTGTTAGTTAAATAAGTGTCTTTGAAGGTAATTATGTTTAACAACATCAATTAATTCTAATTACCTTTCTTAATTTGTATAAATGAATTAGTTAATGATAACTTACAATTAAAAATAAAATTAGCATAATAATAACGCGATATATATTTCAATATAATCCCGTTGACTGCGTCAATTTTGACTGAAAAATGAAGAAACATGCATGGTAATGGCCATATGAAAACAAATGTCACAACATGTGGAAGCAATTGAATCTGCATTATAATCAAGAATTTGCTGGCAATAATGATAATAAAACGTGCAAGTAAACATTGACTTTGAAAATGAAACTGTTTATTGGCATTGGAGAAACATAAATAAAATATATTTTTGTAAGAATGACGGTTATATATATTGTAAGATATATTACAGATTTCAATTGAATTCATCATTGCTTCTTCTGCAAGACTGCAACTGTACGTTGAAACAAATGGCGGGAGCTGCAGCAACATATGACATCTCATGGAGTTGCAGATGGATCGCTAGTACAGAGGTAATAATCCTTATCAGTCTTCGAGAATTCTTCTGGTCGAAGATATAACTTAGACCATATATTTTCATGCAATATTAGTTTCATTATATGCAGATTTTATAGTTAATTATAACAATATATACGTATAACTACTATGTGGCGACATACTTTAGTTTCCACCAGAGCATCCACCACCATAGATCACCACCAGACTCCATAGAACTTCGTGTTTTTGTAACAGGTTTATAATCCTAGATCCTTGCTTGCTAGAGGAAGGTTTTCAAATTTGTTTTTAATACTTAGATAAGGATAGTTTAAAAAGTCTTAGACTTTCTAAACCCTTTGTACAACGGGTTTAGAATTCTAAACTAGCTGTACAGCCTATTTAGAAAGTGTCCTGGAGAAAGCAGGAAAAAAACCTGGTTAAGGGCTGCAACCAGTCTAGAAAGTACCCCTTTTTGAACTAGTTAATGTCACAACCAGTTTAGATAGTCATGCTTTCTAAATCGATTGTGACATTAACTGGTTTAGAAAGTATGACTTTCTAGACTAGTAGTGACCTCAACCGGCTTAGAAAGTCCACTTCTAAATTGGTTAATGTCACAATTGATTGAGAAAGTGGGATTTAAAAAAAAAAAGTTTTGTTTGTTTTCTTTCCCACCCCCTATTTTTTTAGGGCATCATTTTCATTTCACCTGCAAATACTATAATATCCTAAAAATTAACCTCCTATTTAATTAGAATCAAGGCTAATCAAGTAAATTAACGTGGTGTATTGGCTATAGAGAGCTAATGAATGTTTTGAGTTATAGTTTTGACTCTAGGATTGGATCCAAAGCAGAATTGGGAACCTGAACCCCAAGAAGGGAGAAAAATAGGAGAAAGTGGCTTTGTGCCACTTGCCGAAGTGTGTGCATAGAATGCCACGGTGCACGAGTCATTAAAATTTGAAGCTTAGCTCTTTACACCACATGCTGCAACGTGTGTGGCGTGCACTGTGATGTGTGGTTGGTTTTTGGTAGAAATAAGAGCAAGAATTAGTTTGAAAACAAAAAAGAAACAAAGAGGGGAATGAAGAATGTATGTGGAGCTCTGCTAGGGCTCACTACTTTGAATGATTGGAAGCAATTTGGAGCTCGATAATACCTATGGTAAATATAATAAGCTTCCTTTTTCGTTTCTCTTCCACTTTTTTTCTAGTTTTTGAGTTAAGAGTATGAGTTGTGAAGTGATTTTCAGACATATAGGGCTATTGGTCTGAACTCATTGACTTAAATAAGTTAATAATAGTTGTTTAAGTGATTTAAACCATGAATTGAGCAATTAGTGCATTTTTGGTTGTTACAAGACATTAATGTCCGAAAATGGAAGTAGTTGAAGTTGATGAATGCCATATTAATGAATCTAATGGGTATGTTTAAAAGTGAGAAATTGTGATTTTTAAGAGTCTTTAGTGCTAAGTTGAGGAGTATAAAATTTACACAATCATGATATTAATGCTTATTAGTATAATTAATTGTAGAGTAATCATATATCAGCACCATTCAAGCTTTGTGAAGCTTTGGGAGTATGTTATTAAGCGGTAAACCTTTAACTTCTCAAAAATTTAAAGTAACTAGGGGAACTTACTTGTACATACTTTTGTGTGTCAATTAGTTATGTTATTTCATAAACTACTCTTAAGATATGTGATGTTGGTTGTTGCAAGTATGGCATGACATATTTGAAAATTTATCAGTTAAGCACAAATTATGGTATATTGAAAAGCTATAAATGTGTGTGAACATGCTCAATGGTGTGAATGACGTGAAGTAGTGTGATATAGCAAATCTTATGCTTTACCTCATATCATTAATGAATAATGTGAAACAAATGTAAAATTGTAAGTAATGGTGAAATTATATGCTAAGTTGTAATGTGAGAAACACATGATGATTGTGATATGATGAAAATGATGATAAGCAAGTGCATGATGATGATGTGAGAATTGTACGCTAGTTATGATGATTGATATGCTTGCTATGAGTTGTGCATTTATGCATAGCATGATCATATAAGGCAAGAGTTCACCTAAAGAAAGGAGTAGAGAATCTAAACTCACATGGTGTGGCTAACATTCACAGCTCAATGGTTTGCCTTAATTTTATTCATATCATTATTCTTATTTAATGAGAAACTATCCCACAGTTTATCAAAAGGCTAGAACCTAACATAGTTTTCCATTGTTCAATGAGAAAGTTCGTTTAAGGGAACGGTGCCCTATAGTGTAAAATTTGAGGGGAAACTGTGAACCACAAATGAGTTAAATAACCTTGGCCAAGTAGCTTCTCACACTTGTATAGTTAAAGTAGTTTTATCACATGGACAAGTCCATTGTGTAATGGCCTATAGTTTCATATTAGAGGCTATAAGGAAGGTGTGATCATGTTAATAAAAAAAATTATTAAGAATATTAAATATTAAATTTAGATAATCTAAATTTAATCAAGACAGTTCAAACTAGTAGTTTAAACTGACAGTTCAAATTTAGATAATCTAAATTTCATCACATGACTTAACGCAGTTTTTCCTACTCTTGAATCTATAGGGTATCAAATACCTTAGGCTAACCTCCTCGATAAACTAGTGGAGATAACTAGGTTACAGTCCCTCAACAAACTATGGGATAGTTCCTTGATAAATTATGGGACAAGGCTGTACCCTCGTACACTAAAAGGCAGCCGAAAATACCATATGGATTTTTAACTACTCCGATCCCTAGGTGAACTCCTGCCAACTGATCATGCAATATATGATACCTACTCTTTTACACAAATTTTCATTTTCAATATCAACACATTAGGTTCATGGCCATATGCTATCCAAGTGAGCATCAGTCATTATTTTACAATGTTATACTTTTTTTAAATTCTAATTCACTCATTCCTTTTCCCACACATAATCATCACATCACAAGTCATTACATTTCTCTATCCAAACTGTGCATATAATTATAGTTTTAAAAATCCCTTTGAATTCAACTCCTCAATTTAAGTCATAACACAAAATCATGCATGTTTTCACATTTAACATGATAATCATACATACAATTAACCCATTTTCAAAAATAAACTCAATAAACAACTACCCAAAGTAGGGTTTTCTTGGTCACCTCAAACCTTTAAGAGATCAAAGGTTCACCCCTCAATATTAAGCTCCCAAGCTAGCTTTCCAAGCTGAATATGGTGCCCAAATACTTAATCTACAATTAATCAATTCTAAACTTCATCAATAACATCAAGCGCACATTTTTCAATTCTCACACTTTCACTTCCACAACACCTAGCACCCTTACTTCTCATCCTTGGGCTTACCCATTAGGTTTAATAACTCTCTTTAGTTCCCATTTACATCATTAATCATTTCCCACATCATTAATGTCCCGAAAACCCCCATTAACCCCTATTAAATGCTAACTTTTAGGTATTAATAAGGCCCACCAATGAAAGATGTCAAAACTCATCATCTCTAGGTTTAAATACTTCCAACAACTCCCATTAATTCTATTTGAGTTAATAGGTTCAGACTCAACCTATATAGACTAAAAATTATCTCTCATTATGCAACTATTACTAAAAATTCAAGAAAATGGAAGAGGAAAGGAGATTAAGGCTTAGGACACTTACCTTAGATGTTTTCTAGCACCAAAATGCTCCAAAACCACTAATGTGGCAAAGCCTAACAAAGCACAAGCTCTTTCATTTTCCTCTTCTTTCTCTTTATTTTCTGTCTCAGTTCACAACTAAATTCTATAGAAAAAGGGACGTGGGCTGTGGCACACGCAGCACATGCCACGGCATATGGCACAAGAGACCCTCTCTCCCTTTAGTTGTCATTGTGCACCACAATGAACATGCTGCACACTGTAAAATCTCACTCTATTAACCACAATTAACTAATAAAACTAAAAGTAACTAAAAAGATTAACCCATAAAGGTAATTACTAAGCTTTAGTTCAAAATCAAGGGATTCTAAGTTTTCTTAATCAAAATAGATTTAAAACAATCATAACCTTGTATATCAAAGTAAAAGTAAGTTACAGAAACATGAGATACCTCAGAGGAATGAAAAAGAATGAAAACAATTGAAAAACAACTCCTTTGTTGTGAAATAGGGCAATGCACTATGGCTCGTGCATACTGCGCCACGGTGTGTTGCTCTTTATGCCACGTGCCGCAACTTAAGCACCATACGCCGCAACGTGTTACACGTATTCTGTTGTCATTTGATAGTAGAATTAGGGAACTTATGACGCGTCCCAATTCTCCATTCGACATCCAAATGATGTGATCTAGATATCTATAGAAAGCTCTTTTCATGAACTAGCTAATGGCATAGGGTTCACTTTCAAAACAAGTCACACTAGGAAGTTAGACATCCAAACACCTTTTTGTCACTTTTTATCACTTTCACACAAAAAGGGTGTTTAAACCTACAATAAGTGCCAAAAGCCTTACTAACATCTGGACCATGTCTATTGAACCTAAGACTGTCAATACAATATGTCACATCCACTTAAATATCCATATAACACAAAATCACTCCTCAACCCCTTCTCGCCAAAAACAGAAGGGGGAGGTAATTTGCTTTATATCGCATCAAAACCAATCAAAACATGTTTAAACATCATTTCTATATTTGTACTAGTATTTTGGCCCTATCAACATATATATATCTCTCCATCCACAAATACTCAAGGCCCAAAATACAAAGTCAGACATTCACAATAATAAAATAATGCAACTGCAACTATATGTAACCTAGAATTGGCAATTATATACTATTACACAAAGTAAATATAAACTAGAGGCATACTGTAGGAATGTACTAATTCCTAGCCTCTTGAGCCTTCTCCCTTTTTGCTTCAGAGTTAGAGCCTGAAAAGTATTAAAATGAAAGGGATGAGTCTAATTACTTAGTAATCAAAGTAAAACCTACCTTATGCAGTCATATATCAATTGTAAATCAAGCATATGCATATT